ATGTTACTTCGTCCGAACGTCTGCTGCCTTTAATTCCTCCGGCAAATTTGTAAGTTATTGAATATTATTTAATCTAATTTAATCAATTAATTAATTAATTAATTAATTATTCAATCGATCAATCGATAAATCAATTAACTAATCAATCAATCGATCGATCGATCGATCGATCGATCAATCAATCAATCAATCAATCAATTACTTATAATTCTCATCGATTCTCAGAGAAAAGAAAAGGAAAATAAACAAAAAAAGAAAGATAGAAAAAAAATTATCTCTTTTTTGATTAACAAATTTCTATTAAAATAAAACAATTGAAATTATAGTTTTATTTTAAAAAAGAAAAAGAGAAACGAAAATGTACTAAACTGGCCGTTTCTAATACACGTGTAAACGTATTAGAGTTCGGTAATAGAGAGCTCTTTAGAAATGAACGAACGCGACAGGTGTTCGGTACATGCTGAAGAGCATGTTTGTCTGCCGTCTGGATAAATACGATGTGATGCATACTTTTGCGTTTAAGTACACACATGCATGCACACAAGCATATATATAATATATACACACACACACATACATACATACACACGCGCGCGCACACACATATTATTAAGCACGTATCGACTCCCACGCGAATGAAGAAAAAATTAATGCAGAGAAAAGATAAAAAGGAAAGCTCTTCCTATTCATTTTTATGTAGGTCAAATCAAAAATAAAGCACCGTTATTATTGCTATCAAACTTGATTTATATCATTTTATATATATATATAATATACGTATAATTTATGAAAATAACTTATGAAAATAATTTATTGATCTTAAAAGAATCATTAAAGATTTTATTTATATTATTTATATATGGGCCAAAGGATCTTAAGTGCTTTCAAATATCAGTTATTCTTTTTCAAGACATTTTTTAGATCTGTAATTTTATAATGTGAAAAAAAAAAGAATGTCAGCGCGTGACGTCTCGTAAAAGAATAATTGATTTTTAAAATCACCTCTTAATTTTTTTTTGTCCACTCTATATATATATATATATATGAAAAAAAAAGATCTGTAAAGTGAATATATACGAATACGAATTTATAAATATAATAGTATACATATAACTTGACCTATTTATCTAAGAAAGCTGTTATTCATTGGTAGCTTGTCATTCAATATTTTTTAACATTTATTTTTTTAATATTTTAAATAAATGATTAGTAGATATTTATAACAATATATGAGTACGTAATATATGCGATTAGTATTATATTAATCAATACAAGAATCGTCGGTACTTGCATTAAAACATTTACAAATGTAATAATTTATCAATATTTCAAATAGATGATTAACATTTATAATAAACCTAAACGCAACCCTGATACATAATTATTTATACCGACCATTATTGATATTTTATCATGAATACTGATCAAAATATTCATACATATATATATATTGATTATTTATTTCACAAAATACATATCATTAATTAATAAATATATGAATCGAATAGATAGGAATTATTTGGAAAAAAAAGAAGCTAAAAAAATGCGAAAGAAAAGTATTTTTATGGATCTTGAAAATAATATCTCTTTATCTTTTACATTTTTTTAATAATTAACGAACTACATATTTTATATATAAACGCTAAAACATTAAGTATGAAAGTATGAAATGAATATTAAGTATGAAAGGTATGAAGGGCAATTATGGCGTTCATTGTAAAAGACTTCGATCTTTTGGGTTTCTTGGTTTCGCCGTCTATTTTCGTATCGTACGAACTCGCGTAAAGAAACGGAAGTCATAGGGAGCCTTCCACGTGTTCCTTCGATCTCTCTCTCTCTCTCTCTCTTTTTTCTCTCTTTCTCTCTCTCTCTCTTTATCCCTCTCACGGATACGTCTTCGTCGTCGATACACATTCGGTACGTTTATTTCTGCTTCTTTCGCAGTCTATACACGTATTTTCAGGGCTCGGCTCAACTTGACTTCGAGTTCCGTGAGGAGGAGAGCTCACCGTTCTGTGAGTCCTCCTCCTCCTCCTCCTCCTCCTTCTGCTCCTCCTCCTCCTCCCCCTCCTTCTAACAGACTCTCCTTCGTGGGAACTCATTAATACGAGGACATAATCGTGCAAACATACCGCGATCGATTCGCCGATCGTATACTGATTTCTAAGAGATACCTCGAAATGGCTACCGATTCCGGAATTTAGATTCGTTCGATTTGCCAAAGCTTCGAGAACAACTGACTCGATTATCTCGATGTATCTTATTACATACATACATTATGTATGCACATACACAATCTTGTTTGTATTCTATTTATATACATTTTATCTATCTATATGGTATGTAGGACCAATCCATATATATATATATATTTTTTTTTTTTTTTTTTTCATTATTTTGTAAAAGTAAGTAAGAAAATGAATTGTCAATCGATTTATAAAATTTGAGAATTAATTAACAATTCATCTCTCTATTCCAATTGAATATTTCCTTTATTTAAATACTTTGAAATGCTTTGATTTTTTCGTATCTATTTGCAAAAAAATTAGTTATACTAACAAATTCAATTTGTTGAAAGGTTTATTTTGTCCACCACTGTATACATATATATGTATATATATGTATGTATATTTATTTGTCCACCACTGTATACATATATATGTATATATATGTATGCATATATTGTAAGTATATATATATTATACATATATACACACACACACACACACACATATTTATATATATATATATATATATATATGTATATATACAAATTTCTCCGTGTAAAATAAGCGAATTGATTGGTACTCGAGTTACCTCTTTGCCTATGCTTCTCAGCTATGAACGTGGACTGCTGATTGAAACGTCGATCGCGGAAGTTGTATTGCACGTCCGTTCTGCCTCCCGCTCGTGTTGCGCGCCATCGAAATAATAAAATGTCGGCGAACGACTTCTGCACCCGCTGGAACTTTACGGTCAGCCTTATCGTGTTTACGGCACTACTCCTCGTAAATGCACAACTCTTTCGACCCTCCTACAGTTTTATTTTTCGAATAGAACCAAGACATACAGCCGAAGAACCATGAACATTTTCTCTCCCCCGCAAAGATAATTTATTTTAATCTAATTAAATATAATAAGAAATTTTTCTTATATATAAACGACAATATAAGAATAATTAAGGTGTTATCATTAATTATAATTAAATAATAATGTATATTAAAATTAATGTAATATTAATAAATAAAATTTTTAATATCCACGATATATAATATATATTATATATAATTATTTTTATTTTTAATATTATTTATATTGAATAAAAAATAAAAAGAAATATATATATATATATATATATATATATACAAATTAATATTACATAATTATGATAATTATAATATACATTGTATATGATAATACGTATACATATATTATATTAACATATATAACATTAATATATTTAAATTATTATTATTATTATTATTATTATTATTATTATTATTAAAAAGAATAAAACCATAAAAATCTATGTTTGTTTTCAGATGGTGTATTCTTTCCTCGTCAAGGACGAGCGATGTGGTGGTGAGTCTTTGTTTATTTTTTATAAAATTCGAATTTTCATCTGAAATTACCAGGAAAAAGGAAAAAAAAAAGAACAATAAGATTGACTTCTTGTGTTCGTAATCGAAACGAACGAGAAGAAAGAAAGATAAAGGCGGTACGAGAGTTGCTATCGTTAACTCTCTCTTTCTCTCTCTCTCTCTCTCTCTCCCTCTCTCTCTTTCTCTTTCTATTCGTTCAGATATTCGACATAGAGACACGACTTATCATGTAATAATAAAATCCTGCACGTTTCCTCGCATTAGAAGAGATAAGAAAACGAGTACGAGGTTTTCCGTGCTTCTTCTCGCTTTCACGTAATCCTTGTTATGCTTATCGGTATCGTCACGATAACGCAGCATCATGCCAAGCGTATATGTTATTTGGACTGACAGATCGTATAGCTTGTATTCGTCATCTAAATGAGATTAGATTATACATATATATACATATATACATATATATATTTATTTATATATATGTATATGTATATATACAGAGTGGACCGAAAGTTTCTCATCTAAATTCTATTTTAAAAATCAATTACCCTTTTTCGAGACTTTTTAGTGTTTTATATATATATATATATATATATATATAATTTTAGTCTTTTATATATATAATATATATAAGAAATAATATATATATATAATGTATATAATATACACATATATACGCATACACATTTTTCAGATTATAAAACTAAAAATCTAACTCGTAAAATTGGAGGTCTAATTGCAAACTTTAAAACATCACGAAAAGAAGTAATTGATATTTAAAGTCAAGACGCAACAACGTTTGGCCTTATCCTAAGTAGTACGTAAAGTAATACGTAAACGTAATTATATCGATAGACGTTTGGTTTTGTTTAATATTATTTTTACGAATCATATGTATATTTTTTCTCTTTCTTTTCTTGTCTTTCTTTTTTTTTCTTTTGTTTTTCATTTTGTCTTTAAGAAAGATGAATGCTTAAAAAACATCATGAAAGTTTTCATCACAATGTAGACGACTCGAAATGTGCCATCTCGAGTTGTAACGAGGTCATCACGCATGCGATGATACATCAACGATGATGTCGTCGAGACGTTCCATTCGTTCACTTCATTTGCCTCCGTTACTTTTAGGAGATATTATAGACTCTATCGAGGATCATTTGTCTTCATCGTCACTGTCATTTCTTTTCATTTCGTTCCATTATTGAGTGAAACGAGAGCCTCCGTCATTCCGTTCTATTTAATGATATCGACGTGTGCAGAACATGCATACGAAGAATCTTATCGTCTTTTACAACGACGATACTTACAAAGGGTACGTTGAACCTATGTGTGCAATTTCTTTGATAAATTATTCGTTTACTCATTTATTTTTCATTCTTTTGCTTCTTTCTTTTTTCCTTCTTTTTTTTTTTTTCTTTTTTTGGATTATAGAAACAATTGTCTATTTTTACATTCTGTCGAGTAAATAAATAATATTCAATAATTACCTTCCAAATATTTAGAAGATCTAACGAATTAAATATAAATACGTTGTAAAACGATCATAAACTTGATATATCGATTTTTTCTTAGATTTAATCGAAAGAATATTTCTGTTCGATATTTAAGAATACAAAATGAACGATGAATCTGAAGAAAAGAAAACGAAAAAAACAGAAAAAAAAAAAATAAAAAAAGAAGAAAAAAGAAAAAAGAAGAGAGAACAAAAAATCATTCGCGAGTGGAATTGTCTGAAATCACGAATGAAATCGACAGGAGGGCCGATTTCTAAAACGAAAGAGAGAGCAAGGTCGAGGAAAGGCATGCTCTCCTTGTGAGTTTGTCCTAGATCCTGGAAAGAAGCAGGTCACGTTGTATCTTTCTCATTTTATCTATTTCTCTGTCTCTCTTTCTCTCTCTCTCTCTCTCTCTCTCTCTCTCTCTCTCTTTCTGTTTTTCTATCTCTCTATCTATTTATCTATCTCTCTTTCTCTGTCTCTATCTCTGTCTCTCTTTCTTTTACTGTTTCTCTGTACGTGTACGTTTCGGTCAGTTGGCAGGACGACATTGCTTCGCAAGGACGACTGCACGTCGGTGTTGGCCTAAATTGCTAAGCACGCTAGTCATACTACACGCGCGACACGTTAATTTCCGCAAATAGAAACACTCTCAGAGTGTTCTAACTTGGGTTTCATCCTCCTTCCTATATTTCATTTCAGGATAATCGGTTTCTCGATTCTTACAAAATATTCGGATGTACATATATATATATATATATATATTTAAACGACGATTATATCTCTTTGTAAACGGCGATCGTCGATGACGCAGCCATCTTGAATATCTAACAAAAAGAACGTGTGACGTCAACGACCGACGTAGATAGGTACTTTTAGATATTTAAAAAATCAATTTCAATGATATTTCGCTCATCTATAAATTTCCGTCATTTTTCATTGACTCGTATTTTTTTTTCTCTTTCTTTTTTTTTCTTTTTTTCTTTTTTTTTTTGGAGGTAGGAAGGTGAAGTTTTTTTTTTCTTTTTTTTTTTTTTTTTATTGAAATAAATCGCACACACATACGTGTTTGTTCGATCGTTATCATATATTCCTCATATAGCGAAGTTAAAAACAACCGTTCGCTTTTGAGCTCGCTCGTCTACAAGTAGCTCTCGCGAGTCTATATATAAAGACTAGAGGGACTTTGGTCTCTCGCTTAGCTCGCTCCAATTTTCTTCCCGGAAGGCGAATTTTCTTTAACGTTTCTATAAGTAACAAATGAGAGAGAGAGAGAGAGAGAGAGAAAGAGAGAGAGAGAGGCGGGGGGCCTTAAAAAGAAATTGGATTCTTCATTTATTTCCTTGTTTGAATCTCTAACGTTTCACTTCACATAATGTCGAAAGAATATTTCATATATTAGAAAAGTTATATTTCGATTCGTATCTATTTTATCTTTTTTTTTCTTCTCTCTTTCTCTCTCTCTCTCTTTCCCTCTCTCTCTCTCATTTCTTTGTTCATTTTTTTCTATTTTTGCTTTCTTTCTCAACTTAGCCCCGTTCGTTGATATTAACTTTTATCTTATGTGCTTCGTTAAGTTGTTTATTACCTGAGTTACTACTTTAGCTCGTGGAAAAAGGGCTGGCCATGAGAATAGTAGAGTTGGAGCGCGCGCATGCACGCGTGGAAATGGGGATGATGCAGTTGGCCTGGATAAAGGTCGGTGGCCGACCTAGCCCCCCAGCAAGTCCGGGACGGCTGGCCGGGGTGGCCAGCCCTGTTTCAACCACCCACTGTTATTGATTTTGTTAACCTTCTATGCTATACCACTCTTTCTCCCCCCTTTTCTCTCTCTCTCTTTTTCTCCCTCACACTTTTATTCCTCCCCCACTATATGATAACGGATTGCCCGCTATTTTCAATGATACCATTTCTCCTTTCCTCGAACCCTTCTCTATCATCCCCTTTTTTCTTGATGCGCCCTTCCTCTCTCTCTCTCTCTCTCTCTCTCTCTCTCTCTCTCTCTCTCTCTCTCTCTCTCTCTCTCTCTCTCTTCCCTTCCCTTCTCTGTTTCTCCCCCTTTCTATTTCATTCTCTTTCTCTTTCTCTTTATCTCGAAAAAAATCGTATTATTAGAAACGTCAGATTGCTATGATTAGAAAATCAAATGTAGATACGTTTTCTATACATTTTTGAGACAAAGGGTGGGCCAAAGTTTTTATGTAATTTAATAAAAAAAATTACTATTACTCGCGATTTTTTAATTATTGTAATTAAGCTTGTAGTTTCACAAGTTAGGTTTTTAGTTTTATTATCTGGAGGAGGGGGGGGATTAGAGGACGGGGAAAAAGAAAGAAAGAAAAACAAACAAATTAGGGTAAAAGAATCTCGAAAAGGAGAAATTAATTTTTTTTAATTATCAAGGAGCTTTTGAGCTCACACTGTGGAAACGTGTGATTCAAATACGATTCGTTGGCCCTGAAAACTCGTAAGATGTAATATTTTAAAAGCATTGCAATCTCTATTCTAATATTTTCTCACATAATTGGAGATTTAATTGTTAAATAATGATGATAGAGATTGAACATCTAATATGTGATTTTTTACGTTCGAACAAAAAGATCGTTCATTTAGTTTTTTATTTTCTTCTTTCTTTTTCTCTTTTTTCTTTTGTTTCCTTGATTTCTTTTTTCTCTTTTTTGAAATCTCTCTTTCTCTGTTAGTCTGATCTTATCGTTTTCGTGTACAGAACGAAGAGCAAAACTTCTTCTTTTCTCTTCACTTCCGTGGGTAGAAACATTGAATTCCGTCTCGAGTCGATTACGACGCTCGTGGCTTTTCACTCGGCGCGAACTACAATGGCGATGCAGAAGCAATCCCTGTACTATCTATTTTCTTATTATAATTTACGATCCGCACTAGCATTCTTACGCCCACCTAACGATTCGTTCGGAGAGCGTTCATTAGCGCATACCTACACTTTCCGCTTCGAAAAAGGAATTCGTTTTATTTCACCATGTGTAATACTGTGTTGCTTGATATTTACTCATCCATAGATTTTGTTTCCTTTGAGAATTAAGATCTCAACCAAGTATTAGTTGAGTAATCATAATAATCCAAAAAGATATGATTCGAAAACTATAAAAAAGAAAGACAAAATATAAATAAATTAATTAATTAACTAAAAAATAAATTAATTAATTATTTAATTAATTAATAAAAGAAAGTAAATAGATGTTAATGTTGTTGTAAATGTATGGGCAAATTTACCACGTTAACACGTATACCCGTATACGTAGGCAGATTACACGTATCAATTTCTTTGGATACGTTAGAACGAAAGGCTATCGTCGTAAAGAGGCGATTTACTCGTAGATTACAGAACCCTACTTGACGCGTTTATACTCGTGCTTGCTTGCTTGCTCACTTGCTCGTTCTCTTACTTACTTGCTTGCTTGCTTGCTTGCTTGCTTGCACGAGCCTGCTGCCGATGGAATCGTAATGCCTTGTATCTGTGCCACTGTGCGAATTGAATTCCAATTACACGCTTGATTTACTTGTTATTCGGCCGAGAACTCGAATCGCATCCACGCCGTTTGGCGCCACTCCATCCTCTTTGGCGACGATACAGTCCCCTCCTTTTCTTCGTCGTCGTCCTCCTCTTCCTCCTCCTCCTCCTCCTCCTCCTCTGTCACTTCTTCTCTTTCTCCTTTTCCTTTTTCTTCTTCTTCTTCTTTTTCTTCTTCTTCTTCTTCTCCGTTTCTCGATTTACGTTCGATCTGATAGAACATAAATATCGATCAATTTTGCAAATTAAGAATGCAAAATTTTCATCTTTACTATACAATATCTCGTATTTCTTTTTAGATAAAAAAAATAAAAAAAAAAAAAAAAAAAAAAAAAAAAATAGAAAAAAAAGAAAAAAAAGAAGAAAAAAAGAAAAATAAAACAATTAAATTTCTTTTCTCCTATTAAACTCTTTGGCGTTATCCGTTTCCCAAGTGCATTCAGGGACACACGAGGATGAAAAAGAACGGCAAGGAAGAAGAAAAGGTCATTGCCGGAGAACGGAGACATTTCGATCGGTCGAGTGGTTCGATAATCGAGCGGTCATGGCCGGCAGGCCGGCCGGCCGCCAGCAGGACTTCCAGAGGACTCGTACTGTTATTCCGGCTCTTTCTTTTCTTTTTTTTTCTTTCTTTCTTTTTTCTTTTCTTGCTTCTCATGCTCTTTCACGCAACACATACACATACACACAGACACACACACACACACACACACACACACACACACACACACACATAAAAAAGAAAAAAAAAGCATTATAGACCAGAGGATCCCAAAGTGCGGATCGCGTTAAATATTCAAAATATGAGAATAGTTTTACATGTTCATTATATAGAAATGTTTTAATTATCATAAAACGTCGTATAAACAATCGATAAAAATTGATCGTATTTAAAAGATCATGTGAGAATGATTATTTTTGTTTGATCTTTCTCCATTCGCAAATTTATATCGAGACAAATTTTAAATTGCTTATCAATCAACTTTCGACATCAATTACACTTTCCGAGTGGGTCGCGATAAATTACCGTTTTCGAAAGTGGGTCTCGGCCCATAAACCCATAAAAGTTTGGTAAACCCTGCTGTAGACAATATGTATTCCGCATTAACGTTATAAAGATCCAAAAACATTTCGATGTTCTAGATTTGTTGGTTTCCTATGAAATATTCTTATCATCATTATTACAAGAGTGTGTATGTGTAAATGAGAGTTAATGAAAAAGAAAAAAAAAAAAGAAAAAAGAAAGGAAAAAAACAAGTAGAACATACATTTATTAACATTCTTATTTCTTTTGATCGGTATATTATTATTTAATTGATGATAAATATTTCGTACGAATAAATGATCACTATGTATGAATATTTTTATTGAGTAATGAAATAATTAAATGTCAGGATTGCGTCTCTTTATTAGTGGTACTTTATGTTATATTATAAATATTGCATCGCATTAATTTAAAATACTGTTTCAATGAATAAAAGTCATTGTCAGTAATATTGTTTCATCAACGTCATCGTGATTTATAATATAAGAAAAGACACGGAGAATAGGCAAACGAATGGGATATTTTTCCCATCCCAGAGTAAAGTTCTTTCTATAGAAAGGGACACGAGTTAACCCGAGCCGATCTAAACGAGCGGGAAACTGGGCCACGTGACGTAAATGCGCGATAATAGAGGAAACAGGACTACGACCCACTTCGAACGATTCCAGTTAAACTAACTGAAGATTTACCTCGAAAACTACCCCTCGTTCAATCCCCTCCTCATCATTCAGTCGACTCACCTGCGTAATAATTTCCCGTCTATTCTAAGCAGCTTTCTAATTTTTTGCATTTTTAAAATAGTCTATTGCGTTTTGATCATTAATAATATATCATATTCTTAGACCTTTAATCTACTGTAATAACAATATTTTTTTCGTGTCAGCAAAAAAATTCCATACCGTGAAATTTATTTAAATTACTTATACAGGGTTGAATCTTCACCGTCGAGAAAAAAGAGAGAGAGAGAAAAAAAGAAAAAAAAAAAAGAAAAAATTTCTAGGCCAGCTGAAAGTTATTAAGTCACGTTAAAAATCAATTACTTCTTTTCGAGATTCTTCGAGCTAATCTTTTTTTTTTTTCTTTATTTATTTCTTTTTTCCAAATCATAATATTACAAGTCCAGGAATATTTTTGCAATCAAACATTATCTAAAATATTTTCGAAAAAAGAAATAATTGATTTTTAAAATCATTTAGAAACTTTCGATTCGTTCTATCTGAACTAGTATAATTGTATTATACTATTCGACTTATATTGTATAATTTATATTTTCAAAATAAAGGAAAATTTGTATATGAAGTAACAATTAAATTCGTATAGCTATAAAATGAAATAAAATTTATCACATTACAGATATTTAAATCCATAAATTGAAAGTTAAGTGGCATTATATGGGATTAACGTTAAAAATAAATTATGAAATTTATACAAGTAATTTTATAAAACGATCGATCATCGACAAGTCTGACAATTTTATTATCGGTAAAGAATATTAACGATTTCATTGATTTCCGATTGTCGTCATCGTTCACGTTCTACTCGAACTACTTTTTCTTTCTTTTAACATCGAAACGATGAGGAATATTCGATCGAAGATATATCGTAAAATGGAACGCGAGTTGCTTTACAACCGGCTAAGATTTTCACTATTTCAGCATCGAGGAACAGGTAGGTATACATATAGCGTAGAATACATAGTATGTGCAATAAACGAGTAGGTAGCTGTAAATTCCCGATCACTGTGTGTCCATTGTTTCCATCACAATAAGCTATCACTCTCGTCTTTACATGGAGCGTTTCACCTGTGCGCGTTGTGTTCAAGAGACATGGATATTACAGTCGAAGGACTTTGTAGTGTGCGCCCACGATGATCACGATTAAGGAATAGACAATAAGTATCATGCGTGTGACCTTTGACACACTTTTGTGAACGCGATTTTCCTTTTCCGTTTGTTTCGAATTCTCACGTGTTCTCTAATAAACGAGAATTTGATTTTCATCATTAATCGTAATTATAATAATGTTCATTTTTATTAACTGTTTGCTAATCGAAATTTTCTATTCATTCTGATATTTATTCGAGATCGAAAAGAAGATATTTATACATTCACTGTGATATCCGCTCATAGATGTATTCCTTTACCTTCGCAAGCCAGAGACGGATTGGTCCTTATGTTGGCACTATTGTAGAGAACGTTACACAATCTGACGAATAATAAGTAAGAAATCCAACCAGTGGAAGGAGAGATAGACTATACGGAGAGTCGATCGAATAGATTCACCTTCTAGCAACGATATTTCTACCTCGTAAAGTAATGATCATTTAAATTATCTTCGATCGACGTAGAACGATGAGCGAGCTCAAGCCTGTTCGTTCGTTTCTAAGGACAATGTTAGATATTTAGATTTTTATGTTCGATACGATCGGGATTTTCACTTGGACATTTAAATGGATATAAAAGCGATTTCACAACGCGTTGTCACTTAGTATTGAAATACGATGATATTTTATTTTGCTCGTGTTATTTTTTTCATTTTAATCAATCGCCTTTTTTATCGAATTTCAATTTGTTCTTCCCAAAAAATTTTACGACGCATCTCCGTTCGTTACATTGCCAATGTCACCGAACAATAAACGTCTTTCCACTTGGAGATGCCTTCTCCTTTGCGATCATCGTTAACATCGTTACACCGAGAACTGCTTGCACCACACTCGTTTAACCTTATGAGCACAAGTGAGCAGCCACTCATTTTCCACTTAGAACGTCTTGCGTCGTCGTTAGACTACGAACGAACGCGCTGTATGACCCAGATGCAGTCGAACAAGGTCTCGAATTTTTTATATTCATCGAACATGGCACTCTCTATGCGTTCGCTACTTGCTTGCTTAGCTTGTCTACCTCCCTGCCTGCCTGCCTGCCTGCTTGCTTGCCTGCCTTCCTTCCTTACTTCTGCTTTACTTGTCTATTGCTTACCCAGCTACTTTGCTGCTGTTACTGTTACTATTATTGCTGTTGTTGCTGCGGGGAGGCTTTGACATTTAACTCTTTGCTTTCCTCGTACTACCTGTGCCTTAACTACTACTACCACTATTACTACTACTACTACTACTATTACTACTAATACTACTACTACTACTACTATTACTACTAATACTACTACTACTACTATTACTACTACTACTACTACTACTACTGCTACTACTACTACTACTACTACTACTAGTACTACTACTATTATTACTACTGCTACTACTACTACTACTACTACTACTACTACTATTATAACTACTACTATTACTATTACTTGTATATGTTGTCAATACTACGATACTCTATGGCGACATTATGGTTTTATCATTTCACTCGTGTTTTAAGCCCAATACCGCAAAAACATTTTGTAATCATCGCATTTGGATCACGTTATTTTTACAAAATCTCGCTGATCAGTCTCATTCAACTTATATATATATCGTTATAGAGAATTCCTCGTTTTGTTTCACTATAATACAAGAGAACAAACTCGACAACGCGCAATGTGTTTATTCGTGATAAGCTCTTCAAATAACATAGATCGACATATGGGCTTGCTATATCTTATACGAACTAATTCGTATCTCGATCAATTTCTTTCGTTAAAATGATTAACAAAAGTCTCCTTATCTTTTGCCACATGCGAAATTTCATTTGCGTTAGACATTCGAATTTGTTTTTCGCAAATTTCAATTTTTATTTTTATTTCTTTTTTTTTTCCCATGTGAGTTTAATTTTTATACATCAGTAGTAAAGTAATTAACGAGCTTGTTATTACGTACTGTGCCCATTGTCGTCATCGTGATCACGTTGGGTATGAATAGTAATTACTGATTAAACGAAAATGAAGAGGTTGCGGAGTGAGAAATGTGTACTCATCGATGTCACTCATTTTGTGTGCTAGATAAGGATTATATTGTTATTCTACTGTAGACTTTCTCTCTCTCTCTCTCTCTCTCTCTGTCTCTGTCTCTCTCTCTCTCTCTGTCTCTCTGTCTCTATCAAACTTTGCCAGGTTTTGTGTTTACTATTAGAAGCAACGTCAAACGTTAGGAATGTTCGCTATTGCTGGAGATAGTCCAAGGCAAGGTTTTACGATTCTAAAACATAAAGTATGTTTTTTTTTTTTTTGTTTCTTTTGGTAGAAAAATAATTGATTAGAGATAGTGAAATAAAATCAGTATCCTTCCATATTTTAATACTTATAAGAGCGTGCAAAATCATAGGATATGGCAAATGTTAGAAACTCTCTTGTGGTAATCTCAAACGTTCGTTTCTCCGAAAAGCTGCGTGAAGTCGCACCAAGAATAATGGAGGTCTCGGATTTAAACCATAAGATACACAAGGGATAGAGAATACACGTTGGGAGTAAAGAAAATTGCTTTGGGAAGGAGTATGGTTTTCCGCGAAAGGAACGAACCAAGTAAGTAAATAAGCATCGTTCGAGTAATGCGGTTGGGCCTCGCGAAGTTAGAGAAGAGAGTAAGGAAGTGGAAGGTGGGCATATGATGAGGTAGGGGTGAGCTGGGGTGGGAGGAGACTTCACAATAGCTCGATTCTGGAATGAGGAAGTCTCCTCGTACGACACACCGCGGTACGGCACACCACGGGACAACACCACCACCGGACGACACCGCGAGAATACTAAAGTGTGGGTTACTAGTTGGATACCTTGCCTATTCCGAGCTCTCCAATATACCTACGACCAAAGAGAAGCTCTCTTCTAGGGATTGTATTTCTGTCCTCCTGGGCGACTTTATATCGACGCCACTCGTGTTCCTCTTTTTACCATACCGCGTTTACCTCTTAGCTCCTTTTTCCATCTTTCTGATTCTTGGAAATTTTCCATTTTTCATCTATTACTTTTCTTCCTATATTTATCCCTTTCATATCCTTTGCACGATTCATTCAAATCGATCCGTACCTACACACATAGATACACACACACACACACACACATATATATATATACACACACATACATACATACATATCCGGATAATAGGACAAGTGAATGTCCTCTTTATCGTGTCCTATCTTTGAATTTCATCTTCTAAATGTTAATAATATCTATTTTCAAACGATATCCTTAAACTTTTCTAAATTTTTATCGATAAAATGTTTATATAGACGTTCAGGACAGATGATTTCACGAGGTATCTCCTATACACTGTCTCGTTTCACCGACGAGTTACGATATTCCCCTATGAATACAAAGTGGCTCCGATCAATTATCATCGTTCCGTTTATTTTCGTGGCACTTACCGGACTAACCGTAAGCACAGGCCTGAAAAGAAGCCGTCCTCGTACGTTCACCTTCGACTGATTTGCATTCTAAAGAAGATTCGAAGGTGATGCCAACCGATTTGCGCCATCGTACGCGTTTCTTTGAAAGAATATATTACGGTCTTGCAAAAAAAAAAAAGAAAAAAAAAAAAGAAAAAAAAAATAAAAAAGAAAAAAGAGAAAGAAAGAAAGAGAGAAGAAAAAAGAAAAAATGGAGAAATCTTCGGCGCACCATCGATTCTTACCGTTCTTTATCGACCTTTTTACTGATACTTAATACTATTGAACATGCGCTATCTTTCTATTTCAATTTTCTAGCTTTTTTTTTTTTTTATTTATTTTATTTATTCCTTTTTTTCGTTTTTTATTTTTTTATTTTTTTATTTTTTTTTTATTTCTTTTTTTTTTTTTTTTTTTTTCTTTCGATTTCAAAGAAAACGAAATGAAACGTATTTATTATCGTCGTAAAATAAATGAAAGTTCGATGATAGGAAAAAAGAGAGTCAAGGTAAAATGTTTATCTTCGTCATTTTCAGATCATTAATATCATATTATTTTGTATATTTTCAAGCTTAGAAAGCATCGAAATCCAATGGTTAAAACGATATATCCATCTCTTTATTTCGTCGAGAGTGTACGTTGATATGACAGAGAGAGCACAGGTGCAGTAATTACGTGAAGGAACGTTGCCAATTGATGTTATTTTGTATGGGCACACATATATTTGTTGAACATTGTTGAAAACAGTCTTGGCGACTAGTGCTAATGTATATCACTATTTCTCTCTCTCTCTTTCTCTCCTTCTCTCTCTTTCTCTTTCACTTTCCTCACTTTTACTCTTTAACAGCTCACATTTTTGATATATTTATAGAATTCGTTTTAAATTTCTCTTACGTAAGATTCGAAATTATCTTTCTCTCACGAAGATAGCATCACGTTTTCTTTCTTTCTTTTTCTTCTTTTTCTCTTTCCAATCTTTTCCTTTTATTTTCTATTCTCATCGATATTGACATCGTCTTTCCGTCATCTTGCATATTTTTTTTTTTTGTAAGAAATATTTCAAATGCTTTCCGATTTATACATTTTTTCTTTTTTGATATTTTTTTTTCTTCTTTTTTTTTTTTTTCTTTTTTTTCCGTGCAAACGTTAATTCTCATTTTTGTCATCTCTTTTCATCTTCTTTCAATAGTATCTCTATATAAATAAATACATTTATATTTATATATATATATATATATATATATATATATTTATAAATATAGATATATCGAAGTTCAGTTAGACAGGAAGAAAACGTAAAAAGAAGAAAGAAAAGAAGGGGGAAAGAAAAAGGAAAAGAAAGAAAGAAAGAAAGAAAGAAAGATGAACGAGAAAGAAATCGGATCTCAGCCTACGACTACGTGTCACCTTAGCCGAGGTCGAATCGTTAAACAGTTTATATCAATCGTCGTTGATTGACTCGAAACATCGAAGTACTTGAGGCACGAAGCCGGCTGAGTTTTGACCTAGGCGAAGCTCGAGCCGTGCAGGCCAAACAGGTGAATCAGAGTTTTAAGAGATTCGCCCTTGGCCCTCGGCTAGTGGTTCGTTCTCTTCGTTAAATCGATTGTGTTTCAATCTGGCCAGTAAATACAGCCAAACTGACTGCGCGACTGCACGCATTCTGTCGAGTCGTGTTTAATCATACACACATGCAAACGTACAGATACATATATGTGACAAATACATATATATATACCTGTATCTATGTATAATATATGCATGTGTAATATATACGTATATATATGTATATATATATTTATATATATATACGAAAATACAAGCATCTTCATCCCGTATGCTTTCGTCTCTCGATGACCTACATGCCTGTCCAAAATAATCCGACACCAAGCAACGGAGACCTTAACCGCGACCCGAGACTGCCCTGTTACAGTCCAGGGACCTCCAGAAGCTTTCGGGAACGACTCTTGAGAAGCCAAAATGAATGGTAAACAAGTGCAAGTGGTATAAACACAGACTCTCTCCAAGTATATATTTACTCACCGGTATAAAACATTGATTACTATCGAGGGAAGGCAGTTAGTCCCTGAGGACAAGTTTATCAGAGACAAATCAATCATATTCTCAGTGTTCTTCTTTTAAGAAAGAATAAAATGATATACATATTTTATATATATATATATATATATATATATATCCCATATTATGTATTCCAATTCGTGATCGACGTTTCATATATGCAAGAATGTTGAAATATTACAAAAAGAATTTTAACCTTCGAACAGTATCTATTATAACCGATAAAAAGATCGAGAACAATAGCTTGTTGTAAGCGTTGTAAATTTACATACGTATATTCCAATACATAGTATTCTATCATTCGAATTGATCTATCCTAATATTGAAAGTCGATGGTCTAGATAGATATCCTAGATATCCCGTAGCTTTTCAAGTTAGAATACATGACATCGTGAACTCGGAATAGTTCGATTATCCAAGTAAAGGTAGCGGTGAGCGGGTGTGAGATGGAGGTGCGCGCGATGGGCGACGGGGGTGCGACGGGAGAAAGAGAGAGAGAAAGAGAGAGAGAGAGAGAGAGAGCATAGTATAGATCACGTAGAGAGCAAAGTATCAGAGAATCGGTAAAGGTGAAAAGTCGTCTTTGCTTCGAAAAGGGAGTGTGTTAATGGGTGCAGAATGTTTGATCGTTTATCACAGAGCTATTCGAAGAAGGTATTTTAGTTTAGTCGAATTAAATCGTTGTCATCGTCATTGTCATCGTCGTCATTGTCGTTCTAAAGTTGTCGCTTTGTCGTCGTTTGCAACGGCATCGCAAAACGTTCGCTTTCATAAGCGGATGTGCGCGGCGTGGCACGTCGAGACTGCGACGCAGAGACAGGCGCGTTCGGCTGATTCGGTGCTGCGATACACGAGTATCGATTCCTCGAAGTTTGGCAGTGCCGAGCAAAGGAGAAACATCGACGAGGGGTGTGGCCGTGGTGAGGAGTGCGTACAACACATATACATACACACATATATGCACAGAAATGTATATATATATATATATAGTACATAGACACCATATATGCTGGTTTTACACAGACGCATTGATCACACATAACATTTATACACATATAGATGAATATATACATATATATGTATGTATGTATGTATGTATGTATGTATGTATGTACATATATACAACATATACATTCTGGTTTACACAGACACACTGACACATCGATCGGCAGTTTAATCTCAGCGAGGACACGCCGTGCGACGCGCCGGAAGAGGGCATGGCCCAAAGTCCTCTCTCGACTTTACCATCAGGATTCGTTCTCGAGACGATCCCATCCCCTCTCTCTCTTTCTTTCTCTCTCTCTCTCTCTCTCTCTTTCTCTCTTTCTCTCTCTCCTTTTTCTTCTCTTTTCTCGAGAGCGACCTTTTCGACGTCTTCCTTTTTCACAAGAACCCTCCTCGTTCAAACGCATCACGATAGACTCCCAAAGCGTTCGAATTGCTCCGCTTACAAGACGAAGCATTCAACGCTATTAACGCGTTTACATAAATCTGGCCTATGTTCATCGTCATGCTCCATCGTATTGATATCAGAATCAACTCATTGTCATAGCTTTTTCTTTTTCTTTTTTTTTTTTTCTTTTTTTCTTTTTTTTTTACAGTAGGATTTACCATCTTCTTGATTTATGACAATGGATATGATATTGGTAATGTCACATGGACTATTAAACTTTTTATTTATCTTTAATATTCCCTCTGGATAATATAGTAAAAATAGAGTATAGTAAAAGTTTCTGTAGAGAGAGACCTCGTTGTTCTATATAATTTTATATCCATTTCGAAATAAATTTTTCTTCGAGATAGATAGATATATATTATATTTTGTTTTGATTGAGAATGAAAAAAATTTTTATTTTTAATCTCAAATATTATCTAGATAAAAATAGAATTCGCATGTACAGAGGGAATTTGTTATTTAATATTTTTCTATGATATTTTATTTTTTATTAACAAAAATAAATTTTCTTCGATAATAGAAACATACATGCTATCAAAAAAAGAAAGAAAGAAAGAAAAAAAGAAAAAAAGAAAAAAAAAAAAATAAAAAAAGAAAAAAAGAAAAAAAAAAGAAAAAAAAGAGAAAAAGAGCAGAACTTACATTTACAGTTATACGAAATCTATCTTAAATATAATAAAGAACGTAATTCATGTGATATAATTTGTTGTGCAATATTTTCTCTATCGTATATTATTTTCATTGACAAAAGAAAAAGAGAAAGAAAAAAAGGAAAAGAAAACAAAAGGTAATATTTTCTTTGAACACACATACATATATATAAACACACACACACACACACAT